ACACTTGTAATTTTCATTTACGCATAGTGACAATTTTTAAGAATTAGTTATGATATAAAATTTAAGAACTTTTTCATCGAATATGCAATAGCAACACAAGTGTCTGCAGTTAAAACATCACAATTTTTTTCTGCAAATTTTCTGAAAATTGACTAATTACAATCGATTATTCTTCTTATGTGAGATGAATAATCGACTAGGATTGGTCAATTTTCTTAAATCTTTATAAGTCTCATTGTAGACGCCGCATTAAACTTTCCGTGTTCATTGCGTGTATAACCGATACCGTGACGCATGATACATATGTCTGCACACGCGTTCGCAGTTTCATAAATTCGTGCGACGATCTACACAGAGCAGCCGCGATTACGCCTCGCGATTTATATTCAGCTTTTCTGGCACATCGGTGTTGTTATTATTAAGTTCTCCCAAAGATATCGGGATTAAGAACGTGTCTCCGGCACGCGAATGTGACATATACGCCTGCACACATGTGTACGTGTCCGTGCGTCAATCGCTTTCGTTATTTTCTGCACGAGAGTACCTCACACGCATTTCTCTATATCTCTCACCTGCTGCTGCTCTTGCTTCCGTACCGTTTCACACGCATCCGCACGCGCATACACACACGAGCGTTCGTCGAGTGGACTATCGATTACGCTTTCGCGTCAATTACACGTTTACGGTGCACGCTCTCATTTCGGCCGATTTCGCGTCCCGTGCCGTTCGCACCTGATTCCCCCGTCGAAATCAAGGGAGATCTCGAAATGCATGCATCTCGTCGAGTAAATGTGAGATAAACAACCGTATATGCGAAGAAAAACATTCTAGTAAAAGTCACAGTAAAGAAGTTTTATGTACGAAAGTATTATTATAATAAAGTATTACTGTCATTCGGCGATATTTTAACGTACAGTTTAAATGAGCCAAAACTTCACTAAAATGAGCAAAAAATTGTACAACCTGCGAGCAGTTATATTTATATTAAGATGCACATTTTTACTATGCAAATTACAATAATAAACTTTTTAAACGCAACAAATAATTATTGAGTGATTTCAGAGTAAGTCTTGTTTTATATATTTATATGTATATGTATATAGTAAGTTTTTATGTCCGTAGCATATCTTAGTGATTAAAAATTGATGCGTCTGTATATTTATACGCACACGATCAGTAGAGTGATATGTTTACTTGTACAAAGATAAACGTCTGAATATTTACCGCTATTGTGCGGTGGCGAGCCGTACTGTATTATCTAGCTGTTGACAATTTCCTTGAAGTCATTCTTCATTATTTTTTCAGCGAATATTATCTAATAACGGTAGCATAAGTTGCGGCATAAAGAAGAAACGTTTTCCACGTCAGTAAAGAAAAGTCACAGCTGTGGTCTCGACTTGCTACCGCGGCGCGTTGTATAAAATATCTTCGACAATTAAAATCATATGACATTGTGTAAATATTGATACGATAGAAGATGGTAAAACTATATATAACCGTACATAATTTATCAATTATATATGTACAAAATTTCTACATTCTAAGAGTATCATCACGAGGTTGAGAAAAAAAATTTGGCGAGGTGTAGCGAGGAGCATGCGTGTAGCAGATCAAATAAAGAATCAGAACCATGTCACGCGATTGAAATTTTGAAACGTGATTTACGCAACACGCGATATTATTGAATTCGCATCCGCGAGCCCGCAACGGAAATAATGATAGACTTCGTGCACATTTAAACAGTGCCAATTTCTGCATGCCTTATAAAAATGCGTACCGACTCGCGTGCAGCCTATAATGGATAACACTTTCGCTGCAATTATCGTGAAATTTTCGTGAAACTTACATTGTGCTTCCATTTGTAATACATTTCATCTGCGCGAACTTATACTAATTATTATAAGCACATCTTTTTCGGGAAGCCAGATGAAATGCAAAGCGTTACTTGAGTTGGGGCAACATTGAGTTGAAAACGTCAATGCGCACCTGACTTCTGCGTGATGGAAATTGCTCGCGTTACTGTTAATTTCCCTACGGGAATCAATGACAACACCTGTGTGTAGCGGTTTCTGATACCTACGCGCGCCGGTGACCCTCAAATGATAGAACCTACGATGCTTAATTAATTGTTAATTGTTCAGCAAACCTACATGTTGCAACCATGCATGTACCTTCTGCACGTACTTAATTACTTAAAGTATTTACTTAAGGAAACTTTGCTGCGCTTGCGCTATATTTGTTTCTCGCGTGATTTATAATTTCTTTGAAATTCCTTTTAAATCGTATGATCCTTTAATTTTTTATTACTTCAGGACTTTAAAGAACGTAAAGCTACATGCGAAAACGGCGTTGTCCTATATGAAATATATAGGCGCTTAATAATATGAGACTTTCCCAAATGAGGACAATGATACAAATGAGTTAAGAAGAAGGTAAGAACTGGTCGATACAGCAGTTTTAATAAAAACGCTTCAATAACGCGATTACTTTGCAATGGCCGCGATCTTATCAATTTGCACCATCATTCCTGCTTATTCTGCTTAGTTTTAAATTATTCAAACGTATTTCTCGTGAATTCTCTGGAGATTGCACGTTGATGCATCGGAAATACGACAATCGGAAAATAACGAAATCAGAAGTGTGAAGGATAACGTTATAAGGATTTATTTCTTATTTAAAAAAATATATCTGAGTTGCTATAAAAACTCTCTTTATCTTTCCCTCTTTCATTAATTTATATATATATATATATATATATATATATATATATAACTTAGAGTTTTTAGCAACTCTAATATATTTTTTTAAATAAGAAATAAATCCTTATAACGTTATCCTTCACACTTACTATATGTACATATATAGTAGTTATAATTATAAAAAATATCTTGATATTCCTGTGATTAATAATCGTCGTAAGCAATATTAGTTCTAAATTTAATATTAAAAGATGTCGTTAATTTTACGTAAGCAGTGTACTGTCTGTCTAGCATCGAAATACGAAAAATGAAAAGGGAGGAAAAAAGCAAACGAGGCATTAAACGAGATATCGATGTATCTAAATTCTAGATTAATGCGGCGCAAACGAGCAGCGGTTCTGTTGAACCGCACGGTGTCGGCGCGCATTATCGCCGCGTATTCCCCGTGCGACATTAACAAAAGTGACGTCGCTGCATCGCGCAGAATTATAACGTATATTAACCGCGGTGAGAGAGAGAGAGAGAGAGAGAGAGAGAGAGAGAGAGATATGAACGAGGAGAGCCGTATTCTCCGGTGTACCGTCAATAAAGCCGTCGCGCTAATAATTATCGTGGCGGCGGCGGCGGCAGCGGCAGCGTCTCGAGGGGCGTCATTAGGCGACAATGTCGCATATTGCGGCTTTTAATGTTTCACAAACGCTTTGCAGGTAGTACGCTGTACGATGACGACGACGACGACGACGACGCTGACGCCGACAACGCCGACGTACGGCGGCGTCGTTTTATCGCTCAACTACGTACTAACAAACGGTGCTCGCGGTATGCACACGTGTCCCGAGGAGAGGACTATACGACCGAGTTATTTCGATATACAAGCAATGAAACGACGACGCGCATTGTTATGCCTCGCGTTGGAAACGCGTCCGTGATGTCTGTCATAGAGAAAATAAAAATTATCGTGCGCGACCGTCGCAGATATCGGCCATGCTCGATAATGAATGATAAGAAGTTGTACGTGATGCTATTTTTTTCTTTTTCTTTCCTTCGCGTATCTCCTTTTTTTTCAGAGTAGGAGTAGACAAACTTTTTCGATCATGCATCGTTCATTGAGAAAATTTGCGTAATAATGACTTCCTCGATTTCTTTATGAAATAAGATATAGTACACAAATAACATTTTATAAATTTATATAAAGTATTTCAAGTGTACAAAAGCATTATATTACTAAATGTACAGGACAGGGGAGATGTAATTGTGAATGTATATCCAGTTTATCATGTGTCTATGTAATTCATTCACAAATAAAATATTATATTAATATTACTATACTAATAAATTATTTGTTTCAAGAATTATCATTAAATACTTGATACACAGAAAGACAAAGAGAGAAAAATATATAGTTTTCTTATAATATTAATTTTTATATAAAAATGGAATACATGCATATATTCTTTTTCTTTTGCGATGTATAAATACAGCTGTTGTAAATTTATAAATCTAAATTATCTCGCTTTATTTATATTGATTTTTCTATGGTGTGCGCTATTTACACAATATATGATAGCTATATATAGATGGAGAAATTGTTCTCATTTAATTGCTCAAAGAGTCAAGAGCTGTATTTATACATCGCTGAAGATTTGAAAAGTTTACTTTCATCTAAGGAAGAAAAATGTTAATGAATTAAAAATCCAAGAAACCGAAAAGAAGGATATTCTAAGTTTAATGCTAATTTTGAGTTTTTAAAAGAAGAATTGAATATTTTCAGCGAAGGATTACAAAACTTTGAGAGAATTGAATAGAGATTTGTAACGACGTTTGCATTGCGATATACTCACATTAACTCCGAGAAATTAATATGAAAAGACTCTCGTCTTGTAGTTCCATTAAACACAATACAAATGTTTGTGTCAAGATTTTCAAATGCGATTTTTCGTCCTACTCTGATTTTGTTTCTAATTCCTTAGGTTAAATTCACTTCTTTCTCACTACCTTTATCGCCCTTTACCTTTGAGCCCTTTAATTTAATCCGCGACATATTTATACCCTATTATTCGATTTAAACACGAAAATCGCGACGGTGACGCGTTTAGGTTAAGTTTCATACAGCCTATGCAGACGCGGCAATCAAAGTATAGCCATGAAAAAGGTCTGTTCGGATTGCACTTTTTGTCTCTCTAACGCCCGAATATATGCTCATTTTGTTTTAAATGCGAAGATATATAATATTTTTCAGAGATTTCAAGCAACACATAAACCACATGATATAAACGTAATAATTGTTGTTCAAACACTTACGTACGGCAGTCGACAAGGGTGTATCAACAATTGATAATGTTAATATTCTTCCAGCCTCGCCATGCAATGATCACGAATGTTTATCCACCTGCAGCTGGATCGATGTGAACGCCTCGTCGGTCGTCGGTGATGTCGCGTTCTACCATAACATAACCTTTTCCGGCTCTGCCTGCTGAAGATCGATTTGAACTATCGAGACGTTCGATAGTTATCATTTCGATAGATATCGAAACTCGGAGTAATTGACACACGAGAGCACGAGCGCGAGTGTGCTTCTCGCCTGCCTCCCCTCTCTCGCCTGTGGAAGTTGGGCCGAGACGAGTTCACGAGCGGCTGGTGTACGCGACGCGCACCGTGGTGATGCATCATCACGGGAAAACGTCAAAATGAGAGCGTCCTCGTGATAGCTCCGTAGTGCAACGCGGTTGCAAGGTGCGCGGGCAGTGCTTAACCTACAACAGCCAGACGTCAACGCGGGTGCCGTTGGCGACGTCCGATGTTACGCGATAGACGCTGCTGACACACAAAAACGCTACGGCGAGTCAAGACGACCGATTCCGCGAACACAGCTCTGACAGCTTCTCTCTCTCTTTCTCCCTCTCCCTCCCCCCGTCTATCTTGATTATCGTCTGGCGATCCGAGGAAAGCGAACGAAAGTGCGTATACGTAATCCTGATTTTTTATCCGCGTCTCGCGGGGGCGAAATGCGCTCGTCCCCCCCCGGGTCGCGCAACTTGTTCCTTAATTGCATCTGCGTCCCCTACAATCCTTTTCATGACGGGATACGAGGGTGCTCTAGAAATATTGCGAGATCTATCCTCATTATGAGTCATTTGTAACCTGTGTTTCGATCGTGGTCGCAATATGTACGTAAATATCCGTCTTGGTCTTTCTCACACTCTGCATTGTCCCTTCCCAGGAATTCCCAGTGGGAAGGTGTCGCCTCCACATTCCTCGTTATGTTTATTTGGATTCTGAATGTGGAGTTAATGTATGTGTAAATTAAGGTTTTAAATTACGAAATGTAATGCTATACGCTTGCTAGAGAAGCATAAAAAGAGATAAGACACGCGTCTGCACGCGTTGCAGAAGAAGGATAGTTCTTATCACTGATTTTTAAGAACCACTGAATGACTCATACAGTTCCGAATAAAGTACCTTTGTACCTCCCTCATAGATTACAATATATTTTATAGATATATTTATATATATATATTTTTTTAACTAAACCCTTAATCTCAAACAATATAATAAATTATTTTAATTCGTACAAGCAATGAAGTAGCAATAATTAAAAAAATATTTTATCTGCTTAAAAATATGTATTTCACATATTTACCTTGTCGTTATAGGGAAACCGCAACATTAGGGGACCTGCTGCAGGCACATTTGAGACCTGCGGTGGTTGGTGAATGGTGTTGCAGATAGATTCCGTGTGGGGCTGGGCGTCACCCCCGCTGCGCCTCCAGCTAGCCGGGGGGACCAGGGGTGCCTCGGGGAGAGCGGCTGCGGGCGCCCCATCCTCACAGAGGATGGGTGAGATAGTCGTGGAACGCGCTCCTTCCCCAGCACGTCTCAGTCATACCTCCGAGAAGCATCCTCGCGCGACACTAACTGAGCTTAATGTTCTTCGTCGTCATAGGGAGCTGTGCGACGTTGTTCTCAATGTTGGCTCCAGGAAGATATTCGCGCATCGCGTCATCCTTTCAGCATGTAGCCCATACTTCAGGTACAATGACACAAACACAATCGATATTTTTGAATTGCTTATTTTAATAATTTTATAACGAATTTTATGTCTTTCTTATTTTTTCCAGGGCAATGTTTACTGGGGAGCTGGCGGAATCTAGACAGACTGAAGTAACAATACGCGATATAGATGAAATGGCTATGGAGCTACTCATAGACTTCTGTTACACTTCTCACATTATCGTCGAAGAAGCTAATGTTCAAACTCTCCTTCCAGCAGCGTGCCTTCTTCAATTAGCGGAAATTCAAGATATATGTTGCGAATTTCTCAAACGCCAATTAGACCCATCAAATTGCTTGGGTATCCGGGCATTCGCGGATACCCACTCGTGCCGTGAACTTTTGCGTATTGCCGATAAATTTACTCAACATAATTTTCAAGAGGTACACCTTATTCAGAGAACAAGACATTGGTTGGAGTTTTCGATTTGGAAATACTTATTACTTTAGTTTTATATATTTTCTAGGTAATGGAGAGCGAAGAATTTTTGTTGCTACCTGTCGGGCAATTGGTAGACATTATTTCGTCGGATGAATTAAACGTACGTACGGAGGAGCAGGTTTTTAGCGCCGTGATGAATTGGGTGAAATACAATGTCACGGAGAGACGACAACATCTCGCACAGGTCTTGCAACACGTTCGACTGCCGCTACTCAGCCCAAAATTTTTAGTCGGCACCGTCGGCTCGGATCTGTTGGTTCGTTCTGACGACGCTTGCAGAGATCTCGTGGATGAGGCAAAGAATTACCTGCTCTTGCCGCAAGAAAGGCCGTTGATGCAGGGACCCAGAACAAGACCCAGGAAACCTACGAGACGGGGAGAGGTGTTGTTCGCTGTTGGTGGATGGTGTTCAGGCGACGCCATTGCCAGCGTCGAGAGATTTGATCCTAACACTGCCGATTGGAAAATGGTCGCGCCGATGAGCAAACGGAGATGCGGAGTGGGCGTAGCGGTGTTAAATGACTTGTTATACGCAGTCGGCGGACACGATGGACAAAGCTACTTAAACAGCATCGAGCGATACGATCCACAAACGAATCAGTGGTCTTGCGACGTTGCTCCTACCACTTCCTGCAGAACTAGCGTGGGTGTCGCTGTACTGGATGGATTTCTGTACGCAGTTGGCGGTCAAGATGGTGTACAATGCCTTAATCACGTGGAGAGGCAAGTACCTTTAATAATTTTAATAATGTTAATGACTTTCCGACGAATGTTTGATATGTGTAAAATGACGCACTTGTACGTAACTTGTACATATAATTTCACAGATACGATCCTAAAGAAAACAAATGGTCTAAAGTGTCGCCGATGACTACCAGAAGGTTGGGAGTGGCAGTTGCAGTGCTCGGAGGTTATTTATATGCCATCGGCGGGTCTGATGGACAGTCACCCCTTAATACGGTAGAAAGATACGATCCAAGGCAGAATAAATGGTCCCAAGTGTCCCCGATGTCTACGAGACGTAAACATCTAGGCTGTGCTGTATTTAATAATCTAATTTATGCTGTGGGAGGACGAGACGATTGTATGGAGCTCTCCAGCGCGGAACGTTATAATCCCCATACGAATTCATGGAGTCCTATAGTAGCAATGACGTCTAGGAGAAGTGGAGTAAGTTTGCGTTTTTTTTTAATGAAAATTATATATATATTTTTTTTAAACATAAAAATATATGGGAAAGAAAATAGAGATTATTTGCCTGCGTGCGAATAAATTATCAAAAATATTGGAATTATTTTAGAAGTTAAGTGTAATTATATAATTATAATAATAACGGTGAGTTCTCAGTTTTAAAACAATTTTACCGTTATGAATTTCAGGTGGGTCTAGCGGTAGTAAACGGTCAATTGTATGCAGTAGGTGGATTCGACGGAACTGCGTATCTGAAAACAATTGAAGTATACGATCCGGAACAGAATCAATGGAAGTTATGCGGTTGTATGAATTATAGGAGGCTTGGCGGAGGCGTGGGAGTGATGCGAGCTCCACAAACCGAAAATTACATTTGGTAGCTCAGGCCCCCCTCTTCAGCCCAAATGGCTGAAACTCCTTTAACTCCTCTTACACCGGTAACGCCAGTTACGCCTGTAACACCTCCCGCTCCTGTATCGGTTCCTGTTATAACTAGTACTAGAAAACGCTACCGCCGATCGATGAGCATTATATAGGTAATGTATGCATTTTGTAAAAGACTTTGCCTTTCTCTGAAATTCCGTGCGAGAAATTCCATCGATCTTCGGTATTTAATTTATTATCAACTTTGAAATATTTCTTCGCTCAATCCAGCGCACAGATTACGTTGTAGAAAGGAGAAATGCGGCTGTTCTATCGGTTTTGCCGTTGTTTTATATTTTTATTACATTATTTTATGAGATTCTTCATCAAAGTTATTTATATTATTTTGTGTTATGTAATATATATGCGAATTCCAGATGTTTTAGATTTAAATGTCTATACATAAAGCATTCTTAAGGAAATGCTTCATAACTGTTGTGTGTACACACAAAGTCTCAAACAGCATTTTATTATATGATAAAAAAAAAGAAAGGCAAAATCTCTTCCCTAACATTCGCCAGAAACATATATATGTTTTAAAAAGACATTTACAGCTTCCATTCTTCGGTAAATGATCGAAAAATAAAAGCTTAAGTTTTCAGTAGAGTTTTAATTTAATTGCAAAGGGTCGTTTTTGTACCCAACAATTCAAGAATGTAATATAAGACATAATTATTTCTCTCTATCTCTCTATCTCTCTCTCACACACTCTCGCTCTTTCTCTCTCTCTGTAAGGATAGTCTGCTTTACATATGTATATATATCTTCTTTTGTTATAAGACTGAATTTCAACCAGAGAATATTGAGATACTGAATTACTATTACTGCTAAGTACAGTTCACATTCTTTCGTAAAGAAATATCAAGTTCACATCATATTTTCTATTGAAGTCTACGAATAATTTGTACATCCAATTAATTTGATGCATTTATATTTATCGACGATTTGTGACAAATGCCAAGATGCACGCCCAAGAAAAAGCAGCTGTGTAATACTTGAGATTATAAATGATTTAAACACGACATTTGAAATCGTTTCGTCGCGTTGCTGCAAGAAGACGCCATTTAATCAACATCATCTGTTACATACGTTTAAATCTCTACAGAGGAGTAACGTTATTGTACAAAATGGTGATAGGGATCATTGACCAATAATCTCATAATGTAACTTCGTTGTAATTATGTAATTAAGAATCAGCAGAATTGGCTAAGGGCGACCAATATTACACTAACAATAATAATTGTTTGCGATTAATTTTGGTGAAAATCAAATGATACATGAGAATTACTGGGAAGATGTATAAAAAAAAGGCAAAAGCGTTTACAAACTGTCGCTGTTACATGTATGAGACTGTTGAAGGCAGCAAAGTGCATGTCTAGCGTAAGGACATATTGACGATGTAATGTAATTCTTTCTAAGCAGCCGATCGCAAGGACAATTATTCTGATTTTCTCGAATCCTACGATGGCTCATTAATGCATTTCTCAATTTACCGCTGGACTATTCTGGATAGTCCATTCATATTTAAGTTTTAAACTCGTGATACCATAGAGGAGAAATCGTTGTTCAGTTTAATCAAATTAAACATTACAATGGTACAAATTATCGTAATCGGTAAACGAAGTTCAAATAAGTGTTCAATACCCATCTTGTTTAATTAATTCTCAAGTTGCAGCTACGTCCCAGGAGAATGTAATATTATTGTTTCCACAATACTTTGTACACATAATATTAGCGATTTAATTTTAACTTCTGTCAAAAGTACGTAAGAGATCGAATCTTGTATTGTACCGAATTTTAACGCCACGTTTTGCCCATAAATAAGAAATATTGAAAGTGATTATGTTATCAATTAGCGCGCGTAGTCAATCCTGAGTAAAGCACGAAGCGTTAAGCGCAAAATATATATATTGTTTTCTCATCTAATTAAACGAGATCAAAAACTTGTTCTGTACAACTGTTCAGTACAAAGGAAGAGTCATAGGATTTCTTTCCTGTTCTTTATCAATAAATTAAAGAAAGTGCGCATTAGAAATTTGCGCGAACCATTACGCGATAGCGTTATTGTTTCCTATGTCTGCTAATAAGATATCCCAGATTTAATTCTTTTCCTAATAACGATATATATTACTTAAGAAAAGAATTTTTTTGAATAATATTTTATGAAAGCATATTACATATGGATTTATTAACATACATTAGATTTTTGGAAAATATCTAACAACTTAAAAAGTTAAAAATACTTTACTATTTATTTTTATAATTTTTTTCTCTTATTTTTAATTTTTATCTATCTTATTCGTAACTTCCCTTTTTTTTAAATTTGTATTAATAAAAGAATATTTGAATTAGCAAAATCTATGAAATCAGAAAAAATTGACATGCATTGTTGCATTTTAATCTTTACAATTAATAAATAAGACTCACTTGGGCAATTTTTTTGTATTGCATATTGATCTTTATGCAGTATGCAAGATATGCAGAGAATCATTTACTTCCTTGAAATTAAACCTTTTTCAAATTTGATATAAACATGATATATTGGAGATGATATATGGGTACTTGAAAAATAAAATTTATTTTCGTTTTAAAAAAGAATTTACGGAAATCAAGTTGTTATTTATTTTCCAATTTTTTTTTAAGAATTAGAATTGTAATTTTAAAAAATTAAGGAAAGTCAAATTTTTTTTTATTTATTAAAATTGCGGAATTTTAATTTTCTTAGATAAAATAATATTGGAGAAAGCAATATTAAATAAATTAACATATAATTATTTATAATGAGTTAATTTACATAAATACATTAAAATCCTTTTAAATTCAGTATTGAATATAACAAAAAACGAAATTTGTGAATTTGATTAAAGAGTTCCATATGTCCATTGCATTTAATTTTTTATCAATTCATCAGAAATGCAATGCATTCACAACGCGAAATACTAGATATAATTAACGAATTTATTGGAAGAATGTGCAAATTCGAAAAAACGATTAGATAAGACATCAGGCGCAAATTTAAATTGTTCTCTTAAAACATAAATTTATACTAAATTTCGAAATCAACAGTTTAAGTATTAGATTTTATAACGAGCATATTTTGTTCAATTTTTTATTTCTCATAGGAAATAAAATCATATACACACTGTTGGGACAAAATCAAAAACCGTGAACGTATTGTGTTATCCATTGAAAATGTTCGTGGCTACGTAGTTCAATGTGCACGTTAAGGCGCTAGTAGTTGGCCATTTAAAACGCGGACATGTTTACTGCTCCACTCTCAGGCTTCTCTCTGATAATAATATCAGTGCACAAGCTTATAAGATAAATTTATTGCGGATAGTCGCCGGTCGCCGCGCGTGCCGCGTTGCATTACACGACCGTGCATTAGTTGCATATTAGTCACATTCCAGTGATTCCATGATCCACCACTGACATTCCTCTTTTATTTGATATAAATAAAAGAGCTGCCACAATGCTGCTAGTGGTTCATGCAATTCTATTAAATTTATTGTTCGCGTTTTTTGTGTTTGGTAATCCCGAGGAAGAACAAGGGGTTAAGTATGCCAACAAATGCGAAGGTAATTAATCTGGAGCAATCTATCCTTGAGACGTAAATTAGAGTCTTGGAATATCATTTTCTGTTAATTTGATATATTCAAAGATCACTTAGAGAAATTTCTGTGCAATAACTTCAAATATAATTAGGAGATTACTCTATAATTAACAATAAATCTTTAACTGTTACAGTGTGTAAAGTTCTGGCGACAGAACTTGAGGCTAGGTTAGATGAGACAGGAAAGACACGTGACGTGTTAGAGATTGGATATTCAGTCGATGCGCCGAAGAAGAAAAAGGAATATAAGAAGTCGTAAGTATCATTCTGAAACAAACTATACGACATTATTCTGATGGAGCCGGTATAAATTTTGATTTTCCAGAGAGCTGCGATTAGTGGAGTCAATGGAAAATGTTTGCGAGCGCATATTGGAATACAATATACACAAGGAACGTTCAGACAGTACGAGATTTGCAAAGGGAATGAGTCAAACGTTCAAAACGTTGCATGGCCTCGTGTAAGATGTTAATCGCAATGCGATATTGTATAGAGTATTCTGAAAATTAACATATATGTATGATTATAGGGATAGAGGAGTTAAAGTAGACTTGGGTATCCCCTACGAGCTGTGGGACAAGCCATCAGTAGAGATAACCACTTTAAAAACGCAGTGCGAAGATTTGTTGGAAAATTATGAAGCTGACATTGAAACCTGGTATCACAATCATCAAGGAAAGATTCCTTTAATTAGGTATTATCCCAGGATATATCTATCATGATCGTTATCATATCGTTTATAAAATAGGCATCTTTTTCTGATAATCATTCACTGTTTAGATATTTATGTTCCGATCGTGCATTGAAAGGACAAAATGATTCTTGTCTGTATGAAATAATCGAGAAAGATGTTAAGAAACAAAAGGAAAAGAAAAAGATATCGAAGGAAGATAGTCGAGAAAGTACGAAGGACAATTCTCAGAATGCGAAGCAAGAATTATAAGGCTACGTGAATAATCGAACAAATTCATGTAATCTCTTATATTAATGAATTAAACAGAAACGTGTTCCTAAGTCCGATAGAAATTTAATAGATTTCCAATCCTGTTTACGAGTAATTTGTAATTATCATCATATGCAGTTATATACTTGGATATATATGTGCCATATTTGTTGTACTGTTGGAAATTTTCTAATAAACTTTTATATATTTTATATAAGACTGTCTGCAAATGTACGTAACATCATATCAATATGAATATTAATTCAAACGTTACATTATATGTACATTAGAAATATAGAGGCATAATTCTTGCAGGTTTCGTTTCATAAACGTTTCATTAAAAAAAAATATTGTATTAAACAGCATATAATTTATTATTTACAAGATACTCTTTATAGCAAAATTTGTATTTTCTACATTTAAATATAGATTATTTAAGTCTTAGGAGTCCTTAGGTTTATTTCTGAGGCGAGGTGGTACCCATTTGGTTTTACCGCGAAGTTCTCTCAGACGCTGATATTCCTCTTGGAAGTCCTTGTGCTCGTCCCTGAACAAACCGTAATCGCGCAGGTGTTTCATCAACAGCTCGGTCTCTTTGAATCTTGGATAATACTCCACGACCTCCGGACGTTTGTTCACCGGTTTCTCGCTAAAGAGCTTCACAACTTTCATCGATTTCTGATTAGTCGGTCTGACCACTTCGCCGAAGATTCGGTTACTCAGGCGATTCATGCGCACAGCATAATTAGTGCCCACGTTCGCCAGATTCACGTATTTACTCATCTCGATCGAATATTCGTTCTCTCGTCGAGCCTGTAACCAAGAGAAAGTAAGGTTAGAAATTGTTATGAAGATTAGATTAAAACTTTCTATGTTCGAGACGAACGACAGAAGTAAGTTTTCGAAAGAATTCGCACCGTTTATCCACTCGTAACCTTTATGCGTAAAAGTACAGATTAAATTGATTATTTTACAAAGAAGGAAGATAAAAACATTATCCGCGCATCGTAACACACATAACTCCACTTGACTCCACTCCGCACTGACGCTCGCGTGACTCACGTAGTTGCGCCGTGCGCCGTGGTGCGCCGGTGGGGAGTCCGGAGTGTGGGCAGTGGGGCGACCGGCCGCGGCCGGCAGCACGACCATTCGTTCCAGAGTCGCGCGCAGCTGATTGTCGGTAATACTGCATCCGCGTGATTCACGTGTTACCCGGCGAAAATAGTCATGGCTACAGAATTCGCGCTTCGTGTGTATAGAGGCGCTAAACAAACGGAGTTCCATTTAAAATGTCTGCACTCTCATAATTGTCAGGTTTCTCTTTGCTACACACATCTTTTTAATATAGGTATGTTTAGCGGAACAAAACGCCGTTTTATGATAGCTGAGGTTAATTTTGTTCAAACTAATACTTATCTCATTAGACCGAAGCTTAGTATTTGCATAAATGTCGTTTGTCAATTGAATATAACCTGGCAATAAATTGCGGCAGCAATTTCTAACAAAAAAATTATCGCTCGAATTCGTCTAAAGCGGATTTTACATTTTAATGCTAATACATTAAACAATAAAATTAATCAGATATGAATGAATATATTTAAGACGGGAATAGCTGTGACTTGAATGATTTTCTCGATAAATAGAATTTTTAATTTAATAATTATGCATTTTAATATTTTTAATTCTATATAAAAGCAATGTAGTGATCGGACATCGCGGCGGATACGCGCATTCCTGCTGAACTGCAATGACGACGATTGAAGATATCGGCGGTGAAATTACTGGTAAATTAGATTGTCCGGATTTTTCGAGGCTTCCAATAAACGAAGCCCGCTAAAAGTCACATCGCCGCAGAAGTCTGTCGTTCTTCGTTTAGGTGAGTACCATACTGAATTCTCGTCCCACGATTTACGTTTCTTGTATCACTGTCAAAACTAACAATGACGATTGCAAACCGATTTGAGCAAAAAAATTAAATTGAATTAATTTTTGTTAATGTAATTAAATCAGCGCGCACAAAAAGTGACTGCAAATTTTCTGTTGCAATAATGTACGAGAGCAATGTAGAAACGTGCAATCATCGTACTATTTATCGCGAAATTTTTTATCGTTGTTTTCATGCTCACAATAAATCGTACATTGCAGTGACATTTGAACTTTTAGCCTGGAATGCAATTATGCTGCATTTTCTCTTGAAAATCCTGTGTGCGCCTAAGTGTGTTAAATCCCTGCGTTACATTATATTTACGTTTTGCGGAACACCCATTTAATTGCGGCGTTTGCTTAACTGTGACTATAACGTTCGACAATAGACTTTAGCGTAAATAAATGAAGTTTTTCGTTAAATGATTAAAAATTTTGCATTTACGAGATTACTTTTTTCATTAAGTTTTTTAATTTTTACGAATTAAATATGTTGCAAAGCAGGAAAGAAAAAGATATTGTTTTTATCTTGCAAGAAATTGGATACAATCAAATATGATTTTACGCATCATATTTTATTTAGCAACTAATAAATAATTACTCATGCGACGTTTTAATTGCAATATCTCATATATGATTATTTTAATTAGTCTAATTAATGAAGTCATAATAAATGACTTTCAAGCAACACTGATAATTTTGGGAATCCCAGTGAGGATCCTGTTGCGATAACTTGAACACATTGAAATAATTCGAATTGATATGCAATACATATATATTACACTTTTCGCGTATTTAATCAGACGCACATAGAGAGACGATATATTTATACGAGAATTTATTTTCTAATTGATTAAAATGCGACTCAAAGTATTTTATAAAGTTTCAAGGAAATAATCAGCATTATTATTTTAATTTTTTTTTACGTTGCACATTTATATTTTATTTTATATTAAAATATCAATGTGATATGAAGCTTATCAGCCGTGCTTTCCGCTTTCCCCATGTGGGTGTGATAGCAGTGTGTTATCGTATAATATAAATGAGCGCGTCCAATCGTTCGTAATATCTGTTCTTCGGATTTTGTATTGTCAACTTAATAACACAGAAATCATGTTACGATACGTGTTGATGGTGTTTTTATGTGTGATACAATATTGTATGGCATCGGAAACTGCAGGAACTGATACATTGATCAATGGATTGATAGGTAAATTAATAAGAAAACCTAATTGCAATATATATCTCTCATCTCATTTTGATAATTTATTTTTTTTTATAATTACAATTTATAACAATATGCTATGTCGAATGTTAAATCGAATACCTTTTATTAATTTATTTTACATTACACGTATGTATTCCATCATGATTGATGTAAAAAAAAATAATCTAAATTCACAAGACTTTCCTATACAGCTTCAGGCAAATTATTACCAAATGCGAATGGTAATAATGGTAATAATGAAAATTTGACTCCGGCACAACAGATTATTTACATTTATGGGCCGCGTCAATGGAAAATACAAGAAAGTAATAATTTCATAGAAAAAGCAGGAAACGATTACCTTATGACACCTGGCATGGGTGCTCATAAACTTCACGTTCGCAAGTTGCCATGGAACAAGGCTCGTAGAATTTGCATTCAAGAAGGGGGTGAGTTTCTAACAGAGATTTTAATTTGGTAATGATTCATCGAAATGCTCTGTCATGGGCGGCGTTCAACTGGCACTGATAGACGATTTTCGAATTCCATTGTCAGTCATAAACGCGTTAAAAAACAGCAAAATAACGTAATTTTATCGGATTAATAACACGATAACACAAATCGCCTATTGGCGCAGGTCATTTGGCTATCATTAACTCCAATTCGGAGGAAAAATTGCTGCTGCGCATCCTGGAGGAGAACAAAGTGACTCAGGCATGGCTCGGCGTACACGATCTCTATGAAGAGGGCGATTGGAACACGATTATGGATGAGCCTTTGGAAGCTGCAGGCTACTCAAAATGGACGTTGAAAATTGCCAACGAGCCTGACAACTACGGCGGGAAACAGAATTGTGGAGCCCTTTTAAAGGACGGCGGAATGGATGATATCGAGTGCACTGTGGCAGTTGCCTTCTTCTGCGAAATTGCTCTCTGAATCAGCGAATCCTCGTAAATCATGTGAGATGATAATAGCAAGATCATAATCAGTCGTTGTAACAGTATGCGATCAGAGATTATAATTAAATAGTCATTCTAAGATGTGCTATTAAGATCGAATTAACAGCGTTTTCACGATTAATGGAGTCTATAGATTAATATTTCAAGGCGATTATAGGTCATAAGTTCTATTTTTATACTAACGATTATCTTTAGGGATATCGAATAGTTCCATGAAACATGCGTAAAATATATTAAGAAATGATATAAGAAGATTATTATCTTCTTACAAGATACAAGAACGTTGATTCTTTATGGAAACAACACGTGCTTTTATTCTTTAATTAATAGAATAGGGGAAGGAGGGCAGGCAAAGAGAATGATTGAAAAATAATAGAATATAAGCAAAAAATTACAAAGATTATTTGTTTTTATTTATTTATTATAATAATTGAAATTAACAGAAGAGATAAAGTAATTCATAACTAGAACTGTAAACATTTCATCTTCGTTATATTGGGAATATCGTCGGGAGGGTAGATGAAACTCGTTGCAACTCAAAGGTTAAAGGGCACTTGTATTCTCCGCGGGCACGTGATTCTCCCAACTATGGATCAGTTAACCGCGTATGCACAAGGTAATACTGATCACAAGCATTCCTCATCGCGATGCCATCTAATGTTTCTTCATATCGGTTTGCATTCGTCGTGTTTCACGAACGAATCTATCGCCGCCGGTGTGATCGGCAGATGAGATCTCTCGGATACTCTCTCCTTCGCGAGACCGAGTTTCCTCTTTTCCTCTCATCCCCCGGTGAGACCATCGTACGCGTTACGGGCATAGTGCCCGATAGCTACTCTCAAGCCGTGCCGTCCTTATTGATTTCGTGTAGGCGCACGCGCCATCCCGTTCCCGATTTGCGACAAGGGGGGTGCGGCTGTAACCATGGATCCCAGTGTACTCGCCACCATGGACAAGGACGCACTGAAGAAGCAGATCGAGAACATGAAGTATCAGGCGTCCATGGAACGGTGGCCCCTGTCGAAAAGCATCGCGGCGTAAGTGCATCGCGGCACCAGGCGAACCATCATCGTCGTCGTTGTCGTCGTTGCTTGCACCCGCTAGAGTTGCCTGTCGTTTTCTCTCTCTGCTTGCGTATCACTAGCACACGTCTGTGAACACCCATGAAGACTGTCACCCTCGCACATAGATGCCCCAGAAATCCCGCAATTTCTGCCGATTATTGATTCATTGGCGAATTTTTGAAGCGGAGTTTTTTTGAGATTAAAAATTGAATTAAAGTTGATTATTTTTTGTGATTTCCTTTGTTTATTATCAGATATCGTTTACATTCGAGCCTTAAATTTCTAAATTTTCAGCAAAATTATTTAAAACCGAATTGCTTATATATGTTCGTTTACACATAAGTATAAGTTGTTACTTTTTTATATTAATGTTCAATAACATCATAATTTTATTGACGCTATAGATGAACAGCCGCCATTTTTCATATAAAATTTCAAGACCTGTGCTTAAATGCATGATTTCTGGGAAGATAATTAATTCATATTTTCTTTTATTTCTAATACTAGAGAGTTTGGGAAGCTAGTCTTTTATCTGCTTTAAATTTCTGCCCCGAACGAAACGAACAATTCATCTCGCACTTTTTTGCTACTAAATGCAAGTGATTGAGATAAAAAATAGACACATTCATTTTTCATTTATTATTTTGTATTCATTGATGTTATCCGTTAATATGTATGCACGTATTTGTTCTATACGTCTGTGGTATTTAATTTGTAGATCACTATTACATATTACAGATTCCTTCGATTTTTAATCACATTTTTTGCCATTTTCGGATTTCTGAATAATTGCTACGTATTCTTAATACAATGCAAGTAACACTCAGCAAATAAGAAGCATCATTGGGTTCATGACCTCGAGATAGGGCATTTAATTTTCACAGCTCGGGCGTGTCTATTCTGTTACAAGTTTCTTTATATACTTTAGCTATTCTCTATGTACAAGGTAAATTACGCGAAGGCTGCTTAACGGTAACAGCTGTTCCTAGTTCCTTAATAATCGACGATGTAATTTTCGCGTGCGTAATCATAGAATGTCTTTCCAGCTGAATTGGTTCGCGCATAAATCTACGTAATAACGTCATCACGCAGGTTGTTGTCGTTCAAGGTTTAACTATGTCTACTTCAGCTGAAGGATAACATTATTAAAAATTGAAGAAACTGATATTTTTTATTTATAATTGTTCAATTGCTATAAGTGTACAATAATACAGCTTTTCTCTTAAAAAAGTATATATAAAAAAAAGGAAAAATAATATGTACAATAAGCGAGAGTCTATCTAACTCGTCTAACGGAAGTAAAAAATATTTTATTAATTATATGATATTAAAGATAATATAAGAGACAGTTAATTGACAAATTTTTTTAGAAATCAAGAGGGAATAATTTTTAAATTTATCGACAAATTTATTATTCCAAATTTTAATCGGTACCAGAGATTCCGTTGATCAATGTAACTTAGAGAATGTGTCCGTTGTGCGCGAAACGTGGAATTGAGTTTTTGCCGTGTGTTGAAAACTCGCGATCATGCAAGCCGAAATGCACGCTCCTGATCGCGGCGTAGGCGTAGGTGTGTTCCGGTGTTCTCGATCGCGTTTTTCTTGCCTCGAAGCGGAGCACCTTTTCCCTAGATAAGTCATCTCGCGCGCCTATAAAGTGCAATCGCGCGCGCGGATTGCTGGCACAGTCAAGGCTGAATTGTGCTCAGCGTCCCCCGTGTTACGTGGAGGGACAGGATCTCCTTGGACGGCGGTGTGTGTCCGAGTTAATCGCGTTTTCGCCGGCACACGATCACTTTCAGGGAACGCGAAATGTATATATGTATACGCGAGTACGAGCGCGAAGTTGAGAGACGAGAGGGAGTCCGCACAAAACCTGACGTGGGCAGCGATTATGATGACTCAATGACCAACGATGATCGGTGATCTAATTGGGGCCGCAACTGGCCCCGATCGTCTCTCGACGTAACGTTTCACGGTTTCGTCACGCGCAAACGAAAGGGATCCGTGCGGAAAGAGATCGCGCGAGGATTACCCCCCCGCGTCCGTTGCAGTCGGTCCGGCTCCAGCTAATTATATCCCTCGCGTGTCGCACTAATGATCAAGCGCGGCCGAGTTATTGCGAGATTAAGCTCGCAAAACGCTCTGCAAATTTAACTCACGTTCCGACCGATTTAACGGCGACGTTAACGACCTTTTGCAGATAGTTAATGATTCTATATGGAGAAAATGCTGTATTAGAAATTATACAAACCAACTTCACTCGAATTAAAAATTCCTTTTTTTTACATTAACTGACATAATTTTATTTTAAATATCGTATATTATAATATTCTAATAATTACAATAACTCTCTTGTAAAACGAAGCTTGTGCACTGTAGACGTGTTAAAAAAAAAAAAGAAATTTTTCTTTCTGTTTATTTTCATTAAACTGTTTTGGACATCGTTTTTCTTGATTATCACTTATAGCAATACCAATACTTAAAAATATCAATATCCGTTGAATGCGATGCCGAACGAGCGAAAGTATCGACAACTTGCCGAAAGCATCCCTGATCACCTGCACGGCGTTTCGCAAGGTTCGGTATTACGTCAATATCGCGCGAGACGAAAGGGAGCGGAAGGATCAGGAAACGGGCGTGGAAATCATATCGTCGTATTATCGGGACGCGAGATTAGGTCGATCGGCAAGGGATAAAAAGAAAGGAAAGAGGAGAAAAAAAGGGGGTAACGTGCGGAGCGGAGGGGGTGGAGGCGGGTGCCCCGCCGCCTTTCACTGCTCGAGAAGTCTCGCGAGACCGCGGAAACTTTTTGCTCTTTCTCTTTCTCTCTTTCGCGCGCGTTACTCGCCTCGAAAACTTCGCCGCGAGAAACGACCGTCGTCGGGTTGAACGCGCGCGGTTCCGCGTCGTTCCGCAAGCGGGATCACGCGCCGGAAACACGAAGATCGGCGCCTACTTCCCGCATGCCCGCCGGATCGTATCGTCCATTAGCGATGCGCCCATGCGCCACGAGCAGTTTCTCGCTAACGATCTAATTCCGGTTTAATTAAGAGAGCCGAGCTCTATACGCGACGGATAGAAATTACTATATATGCGCGAAATATCGACGTTAAATATCCGCGGCGGCGACAACGACAGCGGCAGCGCGGCGGTGCAATGTACCGACGTTGCGTCTCGGTCCCTGAATTTAGGATGACCTCCTTTAAACTCGGCTGAACCCGACGCCTGTTGCATCGGCACACAATGTGGGTCGTGCTCTTCCGATACGCTCTTATTTTTGCAACACGTGGAAGTGTCCCACTATTCATAGTACGTTAACAGCGTTAACGTACTATGGTCATTAATAAATAATCAGAATTTATACTTTATGAAATAAATTATCGAAGTTATGCTTTACATAGATACGAGGAAGAAAAAGATAGCGAAATACCGTACATTTTATTTGTTTATTTCGTAGCTAAATTTTAAAATTTATACTTTTCTCTCCCTTTTTCTAATTATAATTCAGAGAAAATTAATTTCGTTTTAACGCGCACGTGCCACTTTTTAATTTTTGTGACACAAATTATAATGTCGACGGCGCGCGAATGTTTAGTGAAACTGGAAATACTGGAATATCCCCGATATTTTTGTCAATCGATAGTTTCACTCGATCTTCGTGCATTAAATTGCGACTTCCATCCGCCAGGCCGTAAAGATAGACACGAAAGTGAGACAAACCGTGAATTCGAGCGTGAAGTGAACAGAATCGCATTTCATTTCTGCGACTGATCCGCTCGACGAGTCTCGTTTGATATCGCGGACTCCGGGAATCGCTCCGATTTCGACGATTGCCGCTCATTATATAAACGACGGCTAAATAATAGACGTCGCGCAGAAACGTGAATCGATAACATTACGACACGGGTGTCGGGGAAGGTCGTTCACCCTCACTTAAAAATTGCGCGACGGACTGTCTGATAAGTGAAAGTCCACGATTCCCGCACGAACTCTGATAAATCAATGCCGATCAAGCACGAAATGCGATTATTGTTAGTCAAATAAAATTTATGCGCAGTCGCGACAGTGTAAGAACTCAGGAATACAAAAAGAGACAAAAATACTATTTATATTTTTGCTCATTTTACATTTTACGTTAAAAGCTACATGTTTTCTCGCTCATATTGTGAAAAATACGTTTTGTGCGATGATTTAGGTGTAGTGCGACCGAGAGTTCGAGAGCTCTTCATTGCAAATTCATTTTCTTACTCTCAAAATATTTATTTATTGTAATTTTATTCAAATTAATATGATTAAAAAGGATCACTTTTACACGAGCATTTTGTAGTGTAAAATTTACGTAGCTATAAAGTAACTCTTGTGCGTCGACCTCGCCATTCGTGCGCGTAAGCGCTGCAGCTGTCACTCAAAACAAATGTCGCGTATTTGCTTAGGTACACGCATGCTCCGACGCTGAAGGCTTAAGCGACAATGTTGAACATGATTTTCAGCCGTCGTTTGTGTGCAATGAAACGCAGTGAACGGTTAAATGTGCACGTGTGTGCCGGCTGACCGGCGCTCTCGTATCCATCCCGCGGGAAGGAATTCCACGGACGTTTTGCGCTTGGCGAGCGTCGTCTAGTGGTAACAAAGTTCGAAAGCTTCGTGCCGTTGCCGTTGCCGCTTGCGTGCGACTCTCCTTGAACGCAAAATCGGCCGCGCGAGCGAAACCGAGAACCGAGTCCCTTTCACCGACTTCCTCGCGAAACGAACGATCGGCCGGCCGGTCGGCTCCGCATCGGCCGCTCTACATGCGGAGGCGCGAACTTATCGGCGATCTACTAAATCGGAGGTAATCGTATTGCGCGCGTATACGAACGTCTCGCGCGGGACATTCTCTCCAGGAGATCCTGGAAAACGCCGGGTCCGAGCCTCCGGCGAGTTTCGAGCGCGAGCAATGTACCGGCGTTCACCACGAAACGCTCGATATCAAGAACGAAATATCTATTATCCAGAGCAAAATATCACGATATTATGCACGTGCATAATATCGATAATCTGGTATATCTTCCAAATAAAAAATTCGTTTATTAGAAAAGCTATACGCAAAAATAATACACATAATTTGCCGATAAATGAATAAAAAACATTATTTTTGGACATTAATAAGTATCAAATGTGTTTCGATGTTTGTATTACACAATTCATATTATTTTTATGAGCAACCGACTCGTCTCCTTGGTTTGCGTACACGCTTTCTTTTTCTTTTGTTGCCCTTTCTCCGTTTTTATGATATTCTGAAATTTTTTAACCGAATCATTTATACCTGAAAACGGATTTGTCTAATCGTTCTGTCCCATCCACATATGTTATGAATAAAAAAAAGATTCTTACGATAACGAAGAGATAAAGGATCGCGCAATGAAGAATTAATTCCACTAGAACGAATCACAATCGCATGTTTATTGCACCATAGTCTTAGGTAAGCGCTAGAGTAGTAAGTAACGTATGTTGTGCCAGGTTGCAATTTCAGCATTACGCGAGACTCGCGCACATGGCTTGACCCTCTTATATTCTTCTTCTCGGCAGGATGCGGGAGTACGTGGAAGAGAACGAAAAGAATGACCCACTGATACACGCGCCCGACAAGAAGAACAATCCCTGGGCCGAGAAAGGCAAGTGCATAATAATGTAATCGGGGCCAGAGCGGAGGAAGGGCAACAGAAGAAGAAGGAAGCGTGCATACAAACCGAGGAGGAGAGGAATCGGTCGTTCATCCGCGGCAAAAGGGATCTCAGCCAGAGATCACGAAGGGGAGGGCAAGGAGGAGTAGGAAGAGAGGCACACGGGAGGAAGAGGAAGAGATGCCGGTAGACGTCCGCTGCGATTCGGTCGCGATTCGCGAGTCTCTGGTGATCCACCCGATCGTCGAAGCGACCGTCCACCGGCCCCGTCGAAATAAAAATGCAGCTATGACCAAAGATCCCGCAGTCGATCGAAGATCAGACTGGAGAAAATCGTTTGCCGGACCGTTCCGTTCCTCCGGGACTGTTCTACGATCGCGCGGCGTGCGGCCTCGCTGGCCAATTTCCGATTCGTGTCGTTTCATGAGGTACCCCTCATTAATCGTGCCATTCGAGACATAATCATTATTTGTAAAGATATCCCGAGGTAACTCGAAGCCTGCGTATCGATCAACCTGTTTGTCACAAGCAAAAGCGAGATATAAAAACAAGCAAAAGATAGACAAAAAAGAAAAAAAAAACGAAAACGATATTGTGTAAACGATCTTATGAAGCAATCCATGTGTTGTTAACAATTTGCGCCGATCTTAAATGTTTTGCATTCGCAAAAAATATCAAGGAAGAGCCGAGATGGCAAGTAAGAAGAAAGAGAAGAAAAAATCGGAAAATCTATCGGATGAACTACTTCCGCCTGTATCGATCGACGTCGAATCAATCGCCGCATGCCGCGCGACGTCGTCGCCCTGCACATCTCACTCGCCGATGCACTTGCCGTGTAAAACTCTTTTCATTCACCGATCAACCCATGAATGCAATTTATTCATAACGTTACGTGTATACATAAATATATATATATATATTCATATTGTACGAACAAACAGTTATTACTGTAATTAATAATTATAATTACTCTTGTATGTATCTCTGCGCGAATTTCTTACGAAAATATATAACATGACCAGCGACTGAAATTAAAACCCTATTTTCTGCATTCGTCTCAGGGAAAATGCATGAACGCGGCAAAACGTAAATTCTCACATAAATTGTCGAATTTTCAATTTAATCATCCAAAGACTAAAACACGACTAATCGCGGATTAATCGCTACCGCGGCATTCGGTTCTCTCTTTCTTTTTTTTCTTCTCTGTTGTTATCGTCTGACTAGTTGCTAGCCGTTTCTACTGACATGATACGCTCGCGAGATTCTGGAATCGCTACACTCTCTACTTTAATTTCTAATTAACCTGCTTATTAAGATGCGATGAGATATGCTATTGATATTTATGATCCGCGCATGAGATTCTGCAATTGCTAAAAATTTTCCGCGTTTTTAATTTCTTATTAACTTACATATAACTTATTAATACATGACGAAGTGTTCTATCGTATACTGCTATTTTTATATTTGAATCAGTGAAATGTAAACCGTGTGAATATACGTTTTTGTTTAACAATAAATTAACGATAAATTATTGTTAATAAAAAAACGATATGTCAATACTTCAATTTGCCAAAGGCGTTACCAACTTGTGAGACAACTTGTATAGAGAACGTATGTATTAATATTTATAGAAATCTTGAAATTCATTAAGATAATTCTTATGTATGTGGAAGATAAAATGTGATGGCGTAATATTGCGAAAATAAAGTTGGAACGAAAATATAAACTAGTAAATGCATGGAGTTTGATTTAGTAAATTCTGTACGCTGTCTAAGAAAAGTTGTTTGGTTTCTTGTTATTCTATTACTTAGAGTTATATTTGAGTAGAACAACTTTTGTTTAATTATAAAAATAACAAATATGTATAAGTATAAATGTTTAAAAATTTATTTTTAATCAAATATCTTTGTATAAGCGAGCTCTATACATAATATGGGATCTTTGATATTTCTTTAGGCTCGTTTAGTACAGCAGTGTTTTATTGATGGTTCCGATTTCGTAACACGATATTCAGAGTAATTTTAAACAAACTGCGTTATAACTGCTCTTGTTTCGCCCAACACAAAACCTGCAGCGTGAGTGAGAGCTATAGGCGAACACAAAACCACGAGACAAAACCACGTTCCGAGAGTTATGGGCTTTAGAGACGGTACTTGATACGTTTGCGCGGTTTTGTCCGGTTGTGTTCGGCCGTCCTCTTGAGAGTCTATTGAAATTACCTTATATAAAATCTCATTTAAACGATAGAAGAAGCCTCCAATTTGTTGCGCGCCGTAATCGCGTCAGGTACTTGAAATCAGGGGTTTCCAGTCACGAGAGTATTGGGTAATCCGGCATCTGACATGCGGAAAGGAAACGTGGAAGAATATAAACGTATAACAAATAAACCCTCCTGCGGAGAAGTAATTTTCGAAACCCGATAGTCGCGCTTATTATAACCGCGAGGCGGCGAGGCTCGAGGGAAGAGGGTTAACGACCGTTTCGACAAATTGCAGCGCGCGCGAGCGCTGTCCGAGCAATTTATATTTCTCTATAACGTTAATTATGCAGATACTTACGGATTGTTAGAATCGCCTGACGGCGGAGAGAAAGGAGCGGCGGAGGTATTTTCATACGGGCGAAGTAAAATTAAAATTCTTACACGAAGCAATGAAGATGATGACCGGGGAAAAAGAAGAAAAAAGAAGGAAATGAAAAGCGGGCAAGACCCGCAGGGGAAGAATCGCGAGAGTCACTTTCGCCTCTTAAACGAGCGAGAAAGATCTAACAAATCGACAGACGGCGTGTGCCTGCGCGACAGTTGGCGACGCGAATTAGGCTCCCTCTTACTCTTGTATATCCTCTTCCTGGGAGTCATTATGTTCGATTAATTCGCGAAATGATTCAATATACATAGGAAGAAAACGTTCGTTACAGTCACGGAGAATCGTAGCGTATAGAATTAAATTCAATTTACATATGTTCGATCTCGACATAAATGATTACAAGTGTCAGATCTTGAAAGAAGACCTGAACGCACAGGCATTACGTTTGCATTTAAGAAATCTTGAAATCTGTGATCAATTATTACGAGTTGTGCTATGAATGAGAAGAAAAGGGAAATATGTTATTTTAATGTTTATAAATAAATCGTTACTCATTTGTAAAACCTGCGTCTGCAGAGCGTCTTCAAATGATGGCATTTAGGAGAAGTGTATACTTACTCTGAAAGTGATTTGTCGCTGGCTTCTTTTCTCAGCGAAAGTCTAAAACTTTAGTCTTAATTGCACTTTTTGAATAGATAATTAGAGCGATACGATCAAAGCAGATCAGTAATCAAGAACTGTACACTTGTACGGAAGCTCATTAAGCATTGGTTTCTTCCTTATACGACACATTTGCTTATAATTTAAAAAAAGAGCTTATGTTCTATTATAAATGACAATAAATAGTTTATTAATAATATATTAACAATATCAAATTATATAGATTTATTAATAATATATATTCTTAATTTGTTAAAAAGCAAAACACATAGAAAGTGATAAGGGAAATAATCAGATAATAAAAATTAAATAGATTGAAATTTTCATATATTCGAAATGGTCCGACATTTTGAGTTTATCGCTAAAAACTTCCTCATTGTAAGATCGAAATCGATTTTAGATTATTTACACTCGTAAATGCTGCACCATACGAATCTATCGCATCGTGCGGAGCGGAACTATTATATAGAATAATCACACGATCGCCGTCGACAATTTGCTGGAACATTTTCCCAATTATATTGCAAGTGTGTTGCAACATTTAAATAACCGATCGATTACGTGTATACCAGTCGCATTATGCAGCCGTTATGCTTTACATTAAAGTGCATTCGTGTCATGCTGTGACGTTGATGAAGTTCATCGACTTCTTATCGCATTATCCATTATTTTTCGTTCCGCTTCCTCACCGATTAATATCGCGCTCCAGATAATCGCGGAAATGTCACATATTTTTTTAATACATTTATTAGAATTTTACAATGTAAGTAAAGTTAATGTTTATTTATGTAATATAAAAGGTAGAAATCTTATAATAGGCTGATGTTGTACTTGTTATGTACTTGCCTTAATCAACAATTACGCAATTGCATAAAAGTTCTCTTTATATGACGCTTTCTTTATGTTCCTTTTGATGACGGACATTTAATTATTCGAAGACATGATTTGGAAAAATTGTACCAATTATTATTATGTGAAACAATTGCATAAATTGGTGAATTTCATCATATTGTGCGTGTATCTCTCGCAATAACGGCTGTAAAATTTCTTTATACATTCCGCACT